GACTATTATGGCTCCTGATTCTACTCGCGTTTCAGCCACGGAGAGCCAATGGCAAAAAGCTAGTCGCCTTCTTTATGAGGCTTAGTTCACTTTCGATTTCCTTTATTCCAATGGACAGCTTGAACATGAAGTGAAAGAGACGAGATAGGCCTGCACGCACACCCAGTGCGGCTTTGTGGTCGCGTTGTTGTTCAAAATGAATATTTTATTTAGTATTTTTGTGGATCAATAATGTTATTGTGAACACTTATTGGCGAGAGTCTAAGGAATGGCCAGAGTGCTTGAGTTATCAACAATCACGAGCCAGCGAGCGCTATACGAGGCAGACTAATTGTAGGTTGTTCAAGGCGTTCAGACAAGTGTGTAAGCAGTCAGGTGCCGTTCCGAACGATTGGAACAGGCTAGAGGTCTGAGGTAGATATGCGAGGCATCTAGATGTATTTCGCGCACAACCCTCAGTCTTTCAAATTGTTATTTGGTATAATAGCGCATTTTCATATGATGTCACGGCCTCCATATTGGTGTTCCAAAAGGATGAAACGGTGGCCATGTTGGTGATCCAAACAAATCCTGTAAAAATGGAATAACTGCTTATGTAAACGAGTTCTCTTGTTAGAAAAAACTTCGATGGATGCGGCCCACGTGAGTACAAGAACCAGCTGTAGAACAATAAATGGATTTTGGTGGGTGTTCCTTATAGGACTTGTCCATTAAATTATATCTGAGACGCCCTGTAGGAAAGCATTTAAATTTATGGAGTTTGAAATTACATTTTGAACATGAGCTTGGTAAAACCGTTGTATTATAATTGACTAATAAATGGGCAAAAAATGCGAAAAAAATAAAAGAATAACAAATTACACAGAATATACCATGCAGAAAGTATTTTTACTCTCGTGGTTTGCAGCAAATTTCTTGGAACAAAAAGAGATTTTATCTCTTAAAAGTGAAAATTTTAATCCCCCTAGGATTCTTTGCAGCTTGTTCACAAACGTTCTGTTGGTTTGGTGCAACAATATGGTCTCCTTGACAAAATTTGAAAACGATACTTCACACCGGAACACGTTCGACCTTTGCACGTGTTCCTCTCGGAAGACAGAGGAAGCAAATTCTTGAATATTGGTAAGATAGTTTTTTTCCTTTTGGACAAGGCAACAAAAATATTCTAGGAAAATAGATCATTATAAGATTTTGGAAAACTACCAACTTAAATACCCCGGCCTCCCAAAACCCAAAGATAACTGTTGGGGAAAAGTTCCAGGTCAGGCCCTGACGGCCTGCAGAGTATGAGAATTACGATCAAGTTTAGTTTTATCGCTAAACAATCTCTCTGAGAAGGGAGGAAATTTTGATAACGGATTCAGTTTTAATCCCTTATTAGATTAAAAAAAAAACTTGGTCTCCTTTGCTTGCCACTCGTGATTGAGGGGGACATTGGGGGGTACTCAATACCGTAATACCGCAAGAAAAATTGGCAAATACCGAAATACTGTGTCGAAAATCGACGAAATATCGATACCGCACTCATGCCAATCGGTCACGCTTACTTAAGTTGTACCCATCTCATGTGTTTGTGCCAGGCTCTCAGATAGTATAGTATAGTGAGAACAAGGAGCAAAGCGAAAATAAGACGCGCACGACTTGGGAAGGGGGGGGGAGGGCTGAACGACTTTCCACCACCATCTCGGAGCCTGGAACAGGCTAGTTTATCTCAAGCATGTATAAACCAAAAAACAACCTCAGCCATTGCAAGGAAACGTGAGAAGACCTCGATATTGATCGGTACAATGATCGAAAACTAGTGATGCCCTACCAATTTCATCATAGATTAACTGTCAGAAATTGTGTAATCATTTACGTGTATTGGACAGGAGAGCGCAATGAACAGTACCCAATACCATGAACGATCTTCTTTCACCGAACGCCGGTAACCAAAAGAAACGCTTACCGCAGGGCTAAATGATACCGCAATATCGCACGTTAAAATCAAAATTACCGAAATACCGCTTGAAGAAAAGGTCAACACCGCAATACCGGAAGCCCCCATGTCCCTCTTGTGATTATTTTCCTACTTACTTCTGCTAAGGTATTAAATTGTCTTTTTTAACATTCAACGGAGGGATCAGTATTCATAATGACCTTTGATCAATCAATCTCACCCTGTATCCTTTTTCATTTATTTATTTATTTATTTTTTACTTTGTCTTTGTTTTGTTTTGTTGTTTTGTGTTTTTTTTTTCCATTTCATTTTTTAGCTATCGCTGATTCAGCATATCACGTGAGAGCACACTGACTGTCATCTAACTCAGTGATGCAATACAAAACAAATTGCAATAAAATAATCCACATAACACTCTGACATAACACTAAGAATCTTACAAAAGCTCGTTAAGACGTGTTTGGGCACAATACGCGCAGTTTTACTACATACAAGCAATAAAATAGTACAACGTCTCTAAAGACAGACGAACTCTCTTTCCTTCTAGTCAGGTGACCAATAAAAGCATTTTCAGATATAGTGCCAAGCCGGAATTACGTCGGTTTTTATAGAAGCCACAATTAATTCCATTAAATCGTACTTTTTCAATGCTTTCTTTCACGTGCACGCCGTTTTGAAACTTACCCCTGTCCTCGTTCAAAAATCGAAATGAATGGTGCCCACTTCCTACAACCCTGCCTCAAAAACAAGTACGGTGACACTCATGACTTTAAAAACAAAAAAATATATATTCCTTTTAATGAGAAAAAAATGGGCAAAACTCTATGTTCGGTATTTTGGCAAATTCTATGACCAGCGAAGATGGAAGTTGTACCGCACACTGTTAAGGAATGGAAGACAGGGGGAAATTTCAATTTAGATGGGCCAAGGGCCTTTGCAAAGAGATGTCAGCAGGTGGATGCTGTTTTTTTATTTTATTTTATTTTTCTGCCGGGGCACCCAAAACTCATTCAAGTGTTAATAAACCTGTTCAAGGCATCAGTGGTAAAAACGTACGGAGCGAAACAAAAAGGCTCGTAAGTTCGAATCATGACTGACTAGTGATCATTTTGTATTGCATCAGTTACATGAATTATCATTTTCATGCTCGCTTCTTCTCCGAGCGAACAGAAACATACTCGAGAGCGTCCGTTTGCTGCTGTGGATTTCTACCTTATTATCATGCGATCAAGTTTCATCCTGTAGAACGCATCGCGACAAGATCTATGCTACATAGCAAAAGACTTTTTTAAGTCAACTGCCGACTTTAGTCAAGATATCCAGCATCAATTTCAATTTCTATTATGATACCCCAGTTTCCATGTCTCGCAGTTGAGGCTCACACCTGCACTGCGTACTCCAAACGAGGTCTAACGAATACTTTGTAAAATGGTATAAGCACTTCTGGTTTTCTAGATGCTACATTTTCAATGATCCATGATGTCATTTGTTTTCCTTTTCCAATTATTCCTCGCATATTTTATTTCCAACAAAGGGTATCACCAGCTGAAACAACCACTCCCAGATCTCCTTCCTTTTTAACACTTGTAAGGGCGAACTACCCATCGTGTAGTTATTTTTAGGGTTGACCTTACCAATATGCAAGACGCTATACTTTAATTCACTAAATTTCATTTGCCGCGCGTCGGCCTAATGGGATAAGCAGTGCAAGTCTGATTGAATGGTTTCTGGTAATTGTTCGTTCCCTGTTAATTTTGAGTCATCGGACAAATAGCGTGGCCATGGTGGTATTCGTTGTGTCATATTGTTAATGACTAAAAGAAATAGTAATATAGGGGCCCCAAAACGGATCCTTAGGGCACTTCAGATAACACAGATTACCATGTGGATAACTCATCGCCTACTCCTAACAGCCGTAGTTGTACAAGTAATAAAATTCCATGTAATGCTATTGAATTGGCCGGTTACCCCATAAGCTTTTAACTTTAGCAGGAGACGCTCATGTTTGACTTTGTCAAATGCTGAATTGATCTAAAAGATTCGAGAGGCATGACTTGCCGAGGACAAAGCCGTATTGGCACTCGCTGAGGCTGCTCACGGGCATGAGTGTTAAGATGGCGTAAGAGCATTTTCTCAAATACTTTACATAAGATGCATGTTAGAGATGTAGGCCTGTAATTACTTGGGTCGTTAAGTGGGCCTTTCTTATGTAAGGCAGTGACTATTGCGCGCGCACCTCCAAGAATTGCGGATGCAGCATGTAGTTACGACTGCTTGGAAGAGATCTATGACAGCGTTGACAAAGCAACCGGTCGGTCCGCTCCGGCATAGATCACCTTTTTATTTTCAAAAATTGTCGTTTGAAGTAGAGAAATGATCAAAATTGTGATAGAAACGTAAATGGAATCCTTCGGCAGAGTTGGAAATTTCTTTAGATTAAAAAATGTCGTTTCATTACTATTTTATTGCCTTTTTTAAAGGTTTTATTCTTTCCTCAGTCTTTAAAATAAAGAACAAAGTTAATACTTCACATTAAAACTACATTTTGTAGTGCAATTAACCATCACGTTCGACATAGGCAATCAAAATAAGGAAAGAATCCTTATCTTTAAGCGTCTGAGTCTTCGACCAGCAAGTGTGGCGCGCAGTGTCGTTGAATGTGTTGGAACAAATCACTCGATTGTGACGTCACAAAAGAAAAGAGCGGTATTGCGCATGCCTCGATTCAGACATCCATTGTAAAACTCGAAAAGCAATTATTGTTTATGTCTTGTTAGATATTATACACAATTTTAAATAAACATGTTTCATTGAAACCAAGGCAGCACTCTTTTACCTATCAGGTACACTTAGTATAATCAAAACTGAGCTGTTCACAAATACTGGAAACCTTATACAATGTTAACTAAGTTTTGTGACGTCACGTAATTAAAAAAAAATATGTACGTAAAATACAATCGAGATCATGACTCGCGCAAACTAGATTTTTTTTGTTTTTGCTAAATTGACCATGTGATTTGGAAACACAAACGAGGCGAAGGTTTATCACTGAAGAGCGGTAATGGCGGCTGCAGACGCTTTTGGTCGCGTTATGTTAGAACTAATGGAACATGTGCTGTCGAGCTCATCGGAGAGCCGATCTCAAGAAAACATTGAAAGAATTCTACCAATGTTCAGAACCAGGACGCCTCTGTTTTACAACCTCAGTACAGGTAAGAACTTTACTGTAAGAACGTTTTCAGTAAATAACACACGGCAGTGAGAGTGAGAATTTAGGTATGACCACCTAGCATTTTCTCTCTCTCCCATAAAGGGTGGATGCAGTAGTCCAGTAGTCTTTACTCCTGTACGATTGCATTATGTCCTTAATGCAAAGATAATGTTGTTGAGAAAAACGAAATTAAGATCTAATTTAAAAATATATATCATTTTTCTTTATTTATGGATTACAATGTTAACTTCTGTGAACGTAATTTCTTCCCAATTTCCGAGTTTGTTTATTTATTTATTTATTTATTTTATTTTATGTTTAGTTTATTTTAGTTTTTCCTTTACCGTCTCATTGTGAAACAACACCAGTATACCGTAAAGTGTTCTTCAACAAGGAAGGCCTAGGATGAAGGCGTCTCGTGATCTAGAACTTGTCTGAGGATACTGACTTATGCTGTGAGCCCCCGGGCACTCAGCACACCAATCTTTGGGTCTCCTAACTGTAATTCCATGGGTGTCCTGTTGCTATTTATGCCATACAATCTGGATTATGTTAACGTTTGTCACGATGATTTTTAGCAAGTATGTCAAGCGGTGTTATCATAACGTAGCTTGAAATTCATTTGCGTCAGTCTAATTGCGCCAAGTTTCTCGCATTTTGGCGCGCCGCAACAAGTCTCAAATTAGTTTTGAATGACTGTAAACTGACCTAAACTATCTAATAAAGAACCAAATCACAAAGAACATGTGATTAAAGTACCCTTTTTGGTTTGATTGATTCAAACAGTGGGTGAAGTTAGCAAAATGTTGAATGTCAGTAATTACTTGCATGTGTCTTGACGTTTTACTACCTGGCATCTGCTTGCATCGGTTTACAATATATAGCCCCTAGTTTGTTATTACTTTTTTAATTGGCTAGGAGCCACTACTCTCGTGCAACCCAGTGGTTAGCATCCAAACCAGAAAGAGCTCTGATTTGTTTTCTTGGGCCGTCGTCTTTGTTTACGCTGAAATAAAACGTTTGGGGTCGTTCGAGCATTCGGCTCGGTAAGCGAAAGGGTACCAAAAGCCGAGTTCTACATTTTCACTTCAGTCATCGTTATGCTTCCTCCGATTATTCTAATAAAATCCTACCAACTAACAACCGGAAAAGTTTGTGGTTTAAATGGCCAAACCTTGGACATGGTTGCGTTAAAATAAAAACAAGGCAAACTCGGTGTGGGCAGTGTTTTAGTATCACAAAACTTCGCGGTTGCGCTCGGGCAAGAAGCTAAAAAGCAATGAAACAATATAAACGCTTATTAAGACGCCAAAACAAGAAATTTAACAGGACTATTAACCGGAGGTCAACTCTTACCTCCCAACAAGACCACCCGTGAAAAAGAAAACATTTTTGTATTCAAGTACGAGTAAGGTCAAAATATCAAAACAGGAAAATAAAAACCCATCGGGGCAAAATACTGGCTAACCTTGACCCACTCAATTGAACAGAGAAGGACTGTAAAAATAAGACAGATTTAAACTGAATAACTTTGTCAGAAGATGACTGTACTGCACAGGTTGTCGAAACGTCAGTCACTGTCAACAAAAACAGTCCTATTCAGGACTACGTTCACCCAGACGATGAACCTCAAGCTACTTTTGAAATGACTCCTGGGTTCAAACCTTTCACAGTTTGTCAGAGTACTTCACAAAATTTCTGCAGCTAACGATATTAGAGTTCTTTGTTCTAGCGATAATGGTCACTTTTTTATTTCAAAGATATATTGGTGGACATTGCCAAAAATGCCAACCTAAGAAAAGTCAAGAGAGACCATGTGATAGTATGGCAGGGACAGGAAGGAAAGCAGTAAGTACTGAAACTGCAGAACATTTTACAATACTTTAGTTGATTCTTCAGTTGATATCCCTAGGGAAGAAGGGGGAGCTCCAAAAACTGTGGTATCCGCCCCTGAACAGGATTTGGTTTTCCGCAGCGCCTTGAGTGTTAAACAGGGTATACACTTTCACTATTTAGCGTCTTGAACAGAGTACCTTTTTCTAACCGAAGCCTTCAAAAGAGAGTGAAGTATGGCGATAAGTGGTCCTACATTTGGTCATTTCCATCTTCCCAAAAATATCTAATTCCGTAACTTAAAAAAGGGGAGGTGTCCCAAAACCTTTTGGCCAGGTTTGTAGGTAGCGAAATGAACAATTTTTATCTTAATCAGTTTTACTTTGTATTTGAGGGCAGTTTTTCCAAGTACAAGCCCCCGGGGGGCTTATATTTGGAGGGGCGATTTAACGGAGGGTTTTTTTAATTATCGGATTGGGGAGGCTTGTATTTGGAGGGGCTTATACATAGAGGGGCT